GCCGCCCCCGGCCGCCGCCGCCCCGCTCAGCGCTCGCCGCTGCCACGGAGGCTGGGAGCGAAGTTGTACCGCACTTCCAGAGCACTTGATTATCAGTTTCCAGCAACAGCTGTGTATATTCGCTAAGAATGTAAAGAAATATCAGAAGATAATGCGGCGTTGCTATTTATTACCCTATAATTAAAGTTCTGACAGTGTTTCTATTATAAAACCTTATTTGCAAGGGTTCATAACTCAAGAGGCAAAATTTTCCTTCAAGACGAAGCCTTGCTTACCAGACTGAATCATTTAAGAAGTATTTCAGTTAAATAAGGTTAGCCTGTTGGAGGGTAGAAGTCTCAAGGACTTTCATTGAGGTGCTCATTTATATCTGCAAATAAAGAACTGCAAAGTTCCCCCAAATCAAGGAAATATAAGAAGGAAAATATTTTTTTGCAAAAATCAAGGATTCATGGAAAGGTTTTAATATAATTCTAGGAAATTATTCCCATGAAAACAATTTGTTTGAAAGAAAATGCCCTCCAGTCCTTTCCACACAAACTAGTCTTGGGCTAGTACATGAGAACCAAACTTAAAAGTGACTATGAGCAGCAATGAGACCGACTAATTCATTTCAACTGTCCTTACTGGAATAAAAACCAAAGAGTAAACAGCTTGAATGGGGAAAGGTGAATTTAATTTTCAAGGCCCTTTAACTTTTAATAATCTGAGGAACAATATGGGAGGTACATTCTACCCTCCCAGTTATCCTGATATAAATTCATTCAAGATTTATATTGGTGTAATAGAGAAGCAGAATTTGCTCCATGATTTCTAATGAACTGCTGGCTCGGTCTTTAAAAATGCAATTAGAAAAATCTAGCCTCCTAATTCAGAACAGCTCTGAGCTAAGTCAGAGGTCTCGATGCTGCAAACGCGGATGGGAGCCAGTCTGTACCACGGCTCCTCGCGGTGCCTGCAGCACGACCGGAGCCGGGCTAGGAATGCTGGAAACGGTTTGCTACAAAATTCCCTAGTTATTTTAGGATTTTCTTTTCTATTATACGGGAAAAGACAATTCTCATGTGGAATAAACCTGTGCTTTCTGTGATCTCAAATACTAAGACAAAACGATTGTAGGATTAGGTGCCTGGCCTGTTATTGATGCAGGAGGCAAGGAGCCGTCTGGTCGGAGCGCTGCCTGGTGAGACGGGCAGCAGTTGGGAAAACCCATTCGGCTTTAACTCTGCGCCGAAACTTGTATCAAAGCCCTTGCAGTTGCTGTGTCAATGCAGGTGAAACATCAATAAATATGAAAGTAAGTCAAGGGCTAATTCTGTCATTTTACTCGTAAGATTAGGTCTCTGCATTCACCGCTTACTCATGTGTGTAGGAACAACGGGACCGAGATCCCAATTTGTCTCTCTGACCTTTTGAAGTGAAGGCTTCAAATGAAGCAGCGCGGAGCGGCTGTCTCGTTTGATCTTCAGAAACCGCGAGGCAAAACTCCTCAGGTTGTTTCAGGCTGCAGCGGGCTGGCGGGGGAAGGCTGCCGCGGGGGAACATCGCCTCCCACGCCCTGCAAGTCCCACCTCACCCCCTCGGCTTGAGGACCTCGAAACAGGCCGGGGTGGCCGCCGACACGAGGCCAACCTGCAGGTCCTCGGAGATGCGGCGAGGACATTTTCATCCTTGGTCTAGAGCAGCTGTGTATCTTCGCCAAGAATGTCAAGAAATACCAGAAGATAATGCAGCATTGCTATTTATTACCCTGCAATTAAAGTTCTCACAGTGTTTCTATTATAAAATGTTATTTGCAAGGGTTCATAACTCAGAGGGAAAATTTTCCATCCAGACGAAGCCTCGCTTACCAGACTGAGCTGGGTATGGTTAAAGTATCCCTGATCAATAAGTAACCGAAGCAGAGCATCACCTCGCCAAGGAGCTGGGTGAGACCTCCTTCGGTCATGGGCCTGATCAGGGCATGCACCAAGGACAGCAGGAGTCTTCAACTCGAAACCACCGCGCTTCGGTGTATCGAGTCTGTTCACTACAAGCCCTAGCACAACGTTACAGCATCTCCTCTTTCCCCTTTCATTGGTTTGGAGAATGACTCACTGTGAAACGTGAACCAATTCGCTTTCATTATACCATGCCTCAGTTTCCCCATCAGTAACGACAAAAAACATTTGCTCTTGTCAGTGCAAGGTGTGAGAACATCGGTGAACATTTATGACACGCTCCGATCAGAAGTGCAAGGTAGTCCTGTTACTTGGCTCTACCAAGTATGACTACTGCACCTACGCACGCTGTCTTGAGAAGACCACTTCTCAACCCCATGAAACGCCCAGACCCAAGCGGGGCTTTGGTTGAGCAGAAATGAGGAGGAACCACCATACAAGACAGACGACTACTGCAAAATGACATCTCTGCAGCACTAGGAAAATATCCCAACACTTACCGTTTGACCTCCCTTGGGTTTTTTGATGGCTTAATGGAGTAATTTTAAAGAGAGGTAGCGCATGCTCTCTCTCACACTGGAAAAGGACAGTTCAGCACCCTGATGGCGTCAGAAGGCACGAAGGCACGTGTGCGGAGAGGGACCGGCCCGCACATTTCACCTGCTGTGGACGGTGCTCGGGCAAAGGAAAGATGCTGATGTCTGCTGCCGGGTGACGGCCTGCTGGGACGGGGAAAGGAGCTCCCCTGCCTGATCCAAGGGAAGCTGAAACCACAGCTGTCTGCAAAGAGAGGTCTTACCAGGCTTCGCGTCGTAACGCCTTACCGAGAGTCCTCTTCTTCCTTCTTCCCAGAGCGGAGTTGAAAATCTTGGAATTGTCATAACGTTTTATTATCACTTGCAAAACAGATTCTACTTCATCAGATAAAGACACAATTGCATTCATTGACTCTGACACAAGGATATGCATAGTGATAAACATACAGATAGATGTACACACTTATACATGAATGAGATATGCTAATTAAAAATTGCAGTGGGCACTTTATTAAAAATTTATTGTACAATCTACATCTTCAAAACATTTTACATCAACAAATATAGCAGCTTGACTGCTGGAATCATAAGTGATTTATCTTTAAAAGACTGTATTTGTAACTGGATGCAAAGATTCTTGATGAACTGCCATTACATTTAAACTACTGGTTTTTATTGGAAGTATTTTGACTGTTATCTGTTTGTTCTCCATCCTTGAGAGAAATAAAACAAGTGTCTCGGCTTTCATTTTATCGGATAGATGGCACCATGTAGCATATTTCCCATGCTAGTTTGAATTACAGCTGTTCATCTTTCAGCTTTCTTTAAGATTAATTAAATGCAAATGTAACTCCGCGAATCATGGGATTACCTGCCAGACCCCTTATTAATACCTTCACTTAAAAACCCCTGTGCCAGAGAGTCATTAATTTGCAAAAAAAAAAAAAAAAAAAAAAAAAAAAGAAGAGTGCTAAAGCAGCCCTTTGCCTCCAAACAACCCGGAGATGGCTGCCCAATTAGTCCGGCAGCGTTCGGATCCTCCTTTCAGGCCCTGTGGCCCTTTGAGGACAGAATAAGGCTCCAATGATAACCTGGCAACCTAGGTAGAAACTCAGCCAAGTGTGAGCGTTTGAAGCTGCAGCTTGGCTGCCATCGTGTCGGCGAAAAGAAAGAATTCAGGCACCATGTCATCCAGTACAAAGGATAAAAACAGATTCAACCGGAAATTCAATGTGGCACCACATATGGGATACATGAGTGCGGTTATACAACAGGCCACATATTTTTTTTGAACAGTCTCCTGCATGTGATGCCGAGGACATGTGTAACCATCATAACGTCTCTAAGAATCTGTATTTAATTTGAGCTGGGGTGGTGGCAGGGATTGGAGATCTGAAGCCGCCACAGGTTTGTGGCAGATGGCTCTGTGTCAGCTATGACAAGCAGCCAGGCTCGGCTTCCTCTGCAGATTTTCTTTTCTCTCTGATCAGGTAAATATGGGCACACTCTGGAAACTTCCACAATTCTGCCTGAGGCTGCAAGTTTGTGACTTAGCCCCATCTGTCACAAATCTTCCCTCGGTTCTGCTGTGAGCAGAGACCTGAATTTACCGCCGAGCGCTGCCCAAGAAAACCCAGCCGTCTCGCCCTACGAGGAAGCAGAAGAGAAAAGCGCACGAAGCCGCGTTAGATGCTGGGACGCGAGAGGGACGTCTCTCGCGCAGGAAAGAGCGCGGCTCCGTGCTGAAACGCTCTGCAACACCCGGGATTTCCACAGCGGTGGAAGGGAGTTGGTCGGAGAACGCTTACGCGGCGTTATTTGGAAACAGGGTGAATTCAGCATTTTTTTTTTAAGCCAGGTAAGCTGGCTGGCAGAGCCAGGTTATCTGCTCCTGGGTGAGCACCGTCAAATGTCCATCTGCTTTACTGGTGGTTTCAGCGGGCGCGCCAAGGACTGAACACCCGCGGGGACCGAGCTGCCCCTCTCACCCTCAGCCATGGCCGAACCAAGAACTGGCAGGAGCGAGGGCGTAATTCCCCTGCTTGACCATCATCGGTCTGGCTTCTGGGCCTCGTTTTAGAGTCACCTTGGAGAGAATAAATTCGACTCCTTTTTTTGGGGGTGATAACTCTGCAAAGGTCTGGGCATTTGTTTTTTCAAGGAACAGTGATTCAGTCAACAGTTCCTAAATATGCAGAGAGAAAATCATCAAAAGAAGCAAGTTTTCAGATAAAGCAAGATCTCCCCATGACGAACAGGCAGCATAATGTCAATAGCATTACAATATTCTTTCTATATTCTACAATATAATAATATTCTATAATCAACTTTTTTGTTTCTTCTGTCCTAAGAGCAGAACTGAAGTAATTAATATCTACTCTGCCATCATTAGACTTCAGAGTTAACCTTTAGAATTTAATAAGGGCTGTTCATCCATTCAGACGTGCTGTTTCAGGACAGCTGGAATTCAAGCAGACAGTACTGATTTGGCGTACATTTTATGCTCTTTTCTAAAAATTACCTTAACAAAATTAAGAATTAGAGACTACTATTCAGCACAAAACCTGAGATTTGGCAGGCTAGACAGCAGAGTGATTTACAGAGCTAATTTGTATCGGGTCAGCTTTACTCTGTGACCCAGCTCCTTCCCTCTGTAAGTGAGTATTGGGGAAGAATCAAGGTGGAAACCAGCTTGTAGTAATTACTTTTGGAGCTCAGCTTTCAAACTCCAAGCACCTTTGGAAACCATCATCAAAAGGCAGCGCTGGTTTACACGAATTGGGTGCACTGTGAAGCCCGAGTCAGAGCTATATAATACTCCTCAGTAGAGTAGCAGTATTTCCCTGAACAAACTGGTCTGTTCTGAAGTTTCATATATCAACCTTTTAAAACTCATTTCATTCTTTCTGTCTTTAAACAAAAAAACATCAAATGTTGGATGCAAATCTATGCAAGATACCCTGGTGGGTACCTTGCATAGGATGGTTCAGAACACGCTGAACAACTACAACAGTAGGAAACCAGTTTCAGGCTTGCTTTCTCAAGGTAATTTGAATAAACTTTACTGAAAAAAAAAAAAAACGTTCATGCTTTTGGCAACTTTTCTTTCAAAGTCCATCATATTTCCTTTGACCCATTTCTCCATCTACCATTTTGCAGCGGCTGTAGTTCACCTGCCAGTTTTCATTTACTTTCTAAAACTAAATTGGAAGCTATCTAGTATTGTTATAATAAAAAGTTCAAAGTCCTGGTGTTTACCCTGAAAGATGCACACATAACTGCTTTCTTAATGAACGCTTTCTCCTGCTACGAGCTATAGACCACCATTTTCAGAGAGCTGAAATCTCTTCAGAGAGCCAAGAGCAAGGCAAGCCCGGGGAGAAGTTGAGATGCAGGACACACACGTGTGTATATGCATACCTATATATATGTCTACATATTATGGCTGCATCCCAGAATGACCTAGCAGGCAACTTCTACAGCCTACCTGCTAGCTCATTTCTTCCAGGGTGAGGATCCACAGTAGCTAGCAGACCTCACTCTACCACAGCTGCTTCCAGAGCCACATGCTGCTTGAAGACCTAAGGTTGACCCAAAATGCTCAAATTGTGTCCCATGGTCCAGCAGATCTTCACACCTGTGCAAGACTCCCAAGCTAGCTGGATTTCACCCATATCAGCTGTACATATGGGAATGAAAGCCATCAAGACTTCAGTCTAACCTAGATACAACCCTGAGCAACTTAATCCAACTCTGAAGTTAGATCCTACTTTGAAGCTGGTCCTGCTTTGAGCAGAGGCTGACCAGATGACCTCCAGAGGTCCCTTCCTAAATTACTCTATGATTCTATGTTCTAAATAAGTAACCAAAGCTTTCTTTCACATAAGAAATCCTCATGTTATATACATTTTACTTAGGATCCCATGCCTAAGCACTGACACAGAGATGGGAGAGCATGGACACAGCATGCTGCACTCCAGAGCTCCCAAGCTGCTCTAACCTTCCCATACAGGCTCCGAGAAGCAGATCTAGACCATCTCTGAAACCATTTTAAATTATGCTCATTGGGAACCTAGCATCTCAAGAGGCAAATACAAGTCTCCCACTTGCGCTTTCGACCTCCGTCTGACCTGCACCTAATGCTAACGAGGTAGAAGCACAAATTCAATACAATGCCTTCTTTTTTCTCTGCAAACACGCTCTACTGGAAATATCTGTACAATCTGCACATCCTGTAGAGCTCTAAATTAACTTTATCAGCTCAGGACAAAAGATCTGGAGAACACTGTAAGCAAACATCTGCTCAGTATACATTCACCATTAAAAAGTAAACAGTATGTTTGGCTCCATAAGGAACAGGTTGAAAATTATCAGAGTACAACACAACACATAAACTGATGGCATGGCCTAGAATACTATGTAAAGTAATGTCTGCACCAGCACAAAAACAGCTCTCCAGCATCAAAATGGTTTGAATGATGGGAGATAAGAATATAAACACGGAATAACATTCACGAAGACAGACTGAGAAGACTGGGATACTATTAAGAGTTTGACAAATGTTTCTAAAATCATGAATGGTATAGAAAAGATGCATGGGGAGCTTCTGCTTCCAGGCAGCCAACTCCAGAACAAGAAGATGCTCAATGCAACGGAAGGTGGGGAAACCCTGAGCCGACTGGAGGAAATGCTTTTGGTGCCGTCTAAATATATGATGAACTGCTTTGCTATAAAAGGACGTGACAGAAAAGAACAGGGGGTGCCAAGGGCCTCAATGTCAAAGGGAGAACCGTTATCTACAGCCTCACAATACTTAATACTAGAAGAAGATTATGAAAGATGGTAAAATCTCCAAGTTCAGGGTTAGGACCAATCTCTAACTCTAAAAGACAAAGAGAAGACCTTTAATACCCTACTTCTACCTGTGCCAGCCTTCTCCCAAACATCTCATGCTTACCACTATCAAAAACATGGTATTAAACACATGGCGTGCTGATCCAGAGTAGCAGTTAGCGTCCTTATGGAAAAACTAATTTCTCGTGGAGTTTGGCTAGGAAAGGATAAGGGCAGCGGCATTGTCCCCGGCTCTTACACGGTCTGTACAAGAACTACGAACGACTACTACTCCTTGCAAGAGGGCTGAGTGGCTGATGGGACGTCTGGCATGAGGCTCCCCGGCATCCTCCCGCGTCCAGCGCCCCACGTCCTTAGGCTGAGAATGCCTCCTGCTGCCTTCCTAGCTGTGCCTAAATATTAAAGCTGGACCAGGAGCGGTTTTCCCTTCTACGTGTTTTCCTGAAATACCAAAGATACTGCTTTACGTCAAATCACAGTAAAAAGAGAAGGAAAAAAGAAAAAAAAGGGTTTTGTTAGAACTGCCCTCTACAGCCAAATCCTGAGACTGGAAACAATTCAGATGTCTACGGTCTAACTGGGATCTTAATTTGATTTTACAGCAGTTTAATCCCTTTGAATTCAGCAGACTTCCTTCTACAGTGGTGTAAGAAAGAAAAAAAAATCACGCCATGTGTCTTTTCATAGGCAGGTGAGCTTCTGTAGTGTGATGGAAATGAGAAGATGAATGTCAGAAAGTGGGCCAAATTCTTTTCTCTGTTAAACAAGCATGAGTGAGAGTAGGATTTTTTTGTAGGAACTGAAGCTGACAGCATGTCAACCAGCACTCATTCAGCTGGGAGGGCTGGGAGAGATTATTTAAAGTTGTCAGCTCCTTCCATGCCTGGCTTTTGGCAACTCTTCTTGTCCCTTTCCACTGTATACTCTTTATACATGCTGTTTTAAATTAAGAAACTGAAGTGAGGGAACTGAAAGGTAAACTTAAAGAAAATAATGCAGAAACAAATGCTTTGCCCTATTTTTTTTTTTAATTTTAAATCTACTAGATAGGGAGCTTTCAAACACTGACGGGTCTTATGGTGTACTCCGATGGAAACCGATGCCCTGTTGTTGTTACTTGCTTCATTCTGGCTCTTACTTTGGCAACCACAAATACCCGGAACCAGAGAGCAACATTTGACTCCATAAAACTGGAACAGAACAAATAATTGATAACAAATGAGGTTTGCTTTCCACTCATCTCAAGTCTTCTGTTAATAACCGGTAGAAGGCAATGGCGAAATGCAAATAAGCCAGCCTTGGGTGCGGTGAGAATACGCAGGGTAAGTAGTACATCATTTGGAAAGGTTTTCATAGGTGCTTACGTTATGGACATTTTAAAAAGTCTGCCAGCATGAATCTGCTCTGTCGTGTTAAGCTATTGCAGTTTAATGTCCCGGTCTATGCATTTTCCCAGGGATATTCACTGTCTCTGGCTCCCTAACCTGACCGCCCCGCCGCCGTTTATCTCCCTTTTGTCCCTAACTTTGTCAGCACAAGCACTGAGGACAACTGAAGGAATAAACCGCCTGTTTAATTAGACCGCTGTCTAATTATTATGGCTATCCTTAGTAATAAAACCCCAACAATATGTAAAAGGATAAGCCAAGGTACTTCTGATGATGATTGCTTCCCAATCTATGAAGCAGAATCCCCAACCAGTAGAGAAAAGCACTGTTTGCTTTTAAAGCATTTTTACTTTCAAGACTTCACAGCTATTTTACAAACTTCAGGCAGGGAGCATGTCAAGAAGGTTTCTGAAAGAAAAATTGCTAGTTAGTATGCACTACTGTGCTAGGGGTGCCTTTTCTATTCCACTATAGTATATATAATATTATACCGATCTGAAAAAAGTAAAAATACAGTGGAAGCGCTGCGTACCCTT